CCTCTTCAGTACAGTACTCAGACCTCTTCAATACACTACCCAGTCCTCTTCAGTACAGTACCCAGTCCTCTCCAGGACAGTACACAGTCCTCTCCAGGACAGTACCCAGTCCTCTTCAGTACACTGCCCAGTCCTCTTCAGTACAATACCCAGTCCTCTTCAGAACAGTCCGTCAGTCCTCTGGCTGTCTGTGGCATGAGTCCATGCTCACAGGAACAGACCCTGCTCATGTGGGACAAACCTAGCTTCCTTCTAACCCGTTTGTGGTATGGGTCTAGCTTCCCTCTGACCTGCAGGTGCCATGGGCCTAGCTCCCCTCTGACCTGCAGGTGCCATGGGCCTAGCTCCCCTCTGACCTGCAGGTGCCATGGGCCTAGCTTCCCTCTGACCTGGTTCTTCATGCCCCACTGCTAAGCTACCGCCTGGCTCTCTACAATGAGACCAGAAAGCTATAGGTTTCCTGGGAAGTGCAGAGCACCCGGGAAGCACCTGGTGCCCCGCAAGGCTGCTGACCGCCTGAAAGTGTGTTGTCGCCGCACGGAGGTGGTAGGAAAGTATAGCCTCACCCTGAAGCTCACACAAATCCTTCCCATGAATATGCAGGCACACAGACCATCTGTGCATGCATGCACAGACACCCAGATACAAGCACATGCGTGTATACAGACATGATGAAAGGCAAGGCACAAGTGAGCATACACTGATGCACACAATCAGGCACACACACACCTACACAAATACATGTACACAGACATGCACAGGTGAGCAAACAAATGCAGGTGCACACACACACCTGCACAGGCACACACAGGTGTACACGCACACACATGCCTGACTCACGCATGTAGGCACACCCTTATAAATGTAGGCACACAGAGACATGCTGTCCAGCCTGTGGGCCTGGCATGTCAGCCCTCGATTGACTGTTTAGAGACTTGTCATCCTGAGCCCTTTGCACAAGAGCAGAACAGTAGTCTTCAATTAAACGTGCTGTAGAGCTGCAAGAAATTTGTTTAAAGTTTAACACATAGTAACATCACAACAAACAAGGCCTGCCATGGAGACGGGATCTAAACAAAGGCTGCAGATACCCCAGCTGGCACCGCGCCCAGGTACCATGGCAACCCCCCCAAAACAGAAATAGTTGGACTTTCTCCCCCTGTCCTGTCAGTGTTGGTGTGACTTCCTGAAAGGACCTAAGCAGCTCGCTTGGGTCCCGAGCTTCCAGACTGGGTGAGCCCCTGCAGCCGGGCTGCCCCCCAGGAACACATACACAGTGCCCTCACAGCCAGCTGCCCTGGCCACAGAGGGGAGACCTCAGGAGGTGCTCCCAACCCAGAGTTCTCCAGCTCTTCCCTGCTCTGGAAGACAATCGCCTGCCGTCCTCATGCCTGCCTGCCTCCCCTCAGACAAGGCACACAGGTGGAGGCCGAGACCGCAGTGCGTCCCGCACAGGCCACTACCCGGGCACAGAATCCCCTGAGGTCTGGGCGCTAAGGAAATTCACAAGTGACTGGGGAAAGGTGTCTGCAGATGGCAGGGTCTGACGCTTTGTATCACCCTCTCTGTACCAAATCAGCTAGACACCAGGCTCTGGGGTCTGGCACTGACACCACGGCCCGGAGCTCGGCTTCGTTTGCTCATGCTCCCAGACCCCGAGTTCTCATGCCCGGCAGCCAATGGCCAGGCCTCAGCCCGTAAGTACCTTCTGAGTCCTGAAGCCTTACCTTCACAGAACAGGGACAGGATCGGGGCTCCCCCAGCACAGGGCTTGAGCACTCAGGCCTCCGTGGGAGGGTACATGGATACAAGTCTTGTGTGTGCGTGCGCACATAGACAGATGAGTATATGGGTGCAAGTGTGTGAAGCATGAAGCAGCTAGGCATTCTCCTGGGATCTACTAGCCCTGGATAGGCCTCTTCTTTCTACTTCCTTCCAGCCCTTCTAGAAGCTTCCGTGTGGGATCATACTTGGGCCTCTGTTTCTCAGGCTAGCCACGCTGGGTTCACATGACAGCAGGTGACATGTGCCTAGGCAGTGGAGCGGGGTGGCATCACTGACCACACACCCCAACACAGGAGTGTCCTGGGGCTAAGCTCACACAGAAGCAACACCGGGTGAACAGGGAGCTCAGAGTCAAGATAAAGCTGGCCAGGCTCTGCCCCCGGCTCAGACAGCAGCTGCAGGCTCGGCAAGCACACGTGTAAATACAGCTGACCTACTTTCCCTCTGCACTGGGGCAGGGGCCACATCCACCGGCCCAGTCTCAGTCTGGACACCAAGATGCAGGCAGTGCCTGTGCCCGAGCCCCTGCCCCAGCCATCTGGGCGTGCCCAGATCCGCTCCCTCACCTACAGCGCAGACGTGCCAGCATGGCTTTGCTTACCAGTCCCTGCCTGTTTCTCCTGGGGCTGACCACTCAAGGCTACACCACAAGACCAGGTGCTACCAGAAGTCTGAATTTCCCAGCAGGGAACTGCACAGACAGTCTCCCCTGGAGCCTTGCCCAGGACGGGCCCCAGAGAGCTGCAAAGACACCCTTCCATAGTCGAGGCTGGGGTGGGCCTCACCCAACGTCAGGGTCCCGTCACCATGGTGAGGGCCAGAGCGGCGCAGGGTCACGGGCCACTGAGACCCTGGTGGACCCAAGAAGAGGCTGTAGCAGGAGGCAGTGTGAGTGCCCTGCAGGGCGCGGGAGAGCTGGCTGGCTATACAGAGCCAAAAGCACGCGTGTGCGTTCCCATGCCCTGCCCGGAGCTCCGGGAGGCCCAGCCACCTCCAGTCCCTCCCTGCTGTCCCTTCTCTTCCATGTGACTGGAATGGAATGCGTGATGCACACAGACCCTGCCCTAGGGGACCACATGGTGGTCCTGCCCGGGGTGTGGCTGGGAGTATCTCTGGGCAAGCTGGGCACCCTTGGGCCCAGGCCTACTGCCTAGTCCCCCAAGGAACAACAGGACCCAGCCAGAGCGGAAAGCAGAGCTCAGCCCAGAGGACTCTGGAAGGCAGCAGGGCAAAAGGCTCACTTCCCGTCGCCCAAGCCACCAGCTGCAGCCCTGGGAACTGAACCCCCACCCGCGAGGTCTGAGAAGCCATTAACGAGGAGGCAGGTACGGAGATGAGCCCCGTCTGCCCAGACCCCAGAGGGGCTGGGGACCGCGTGGGGACAGCATGGGGAGGAGTCCAGTTTGGACTCAGCACACAGCCTCTGGGGACAGGGGAGCCTGGACGGCCATCTTGCCAGGCGGTCAGGACTCAGGCCTCATGTGGGTGGCCCAGAAGTCACGATGGGGGTGGATTCAGCCCATGAGTGGAGATGTGGGTGAAACTGCACACCCGAGGCTGCCACGCGCAGAGCGAGGCTCTGGGTCTGTGAGGATGATGGGCGGTCTGTGAGGATGATGGGCGGGTCTGTGAGGAGGATGGGCGGGTCTGTGAGGATGATGGGCGGGTCTGTGAGGATGATGGGCGGGTCTGTGAGGAGGATGGGCGGGTCTGTGAGGAGGATGGGCGGGTCTGTGAGGAGGATGGGCGGGTCTGTGAGG